ATAGGTCCTTGAGGTCTTGCTTTCGAATCGCACTCCAGACTTGAACGATGCGTGTATTATGGAGCCGATACATGTGTTCTAAGAAAATAATAATAATAATAATAATAATAAATTACATTAAATAAAAAGTAATGATTCTATGGATAGTTGTAATGGATGGATGCTTATTTACTAATTCAAAAGTTTAAGTGGTTGGATAGTATTGCATACTGCTCTTACATACTCATTAATAATCGATCCAAATTGGATAAGGGATGACCCTCTAACATCCATCCTATTGCAAAATATTTACAAGTCTTGAATGATGGGTGTAGGTACTAGGTTCACAGTCAGACATAAAATAACAAATTGTAAGATATAACTCGCAACATAGTAGAATTCGAGGTAAATTAAGAATTATGAAAGTCCGGGCAAACTTGAAAGAGAAATAAAAAGAAGATGACAGTCTACAGATATACCATTGACTCCTTCAGGGGCATAGGGAGGGGTGGGCCAGGGGTGGCCATGACCCCCCCAAATTTTTCTGCAACCTCCATTAGTGGTGTGTATTTATACTTATTAAAGCTAATTTAGTATAGAAAAATTTAATTGACCCCTTCAAATGGTATTTTACTATAGAAAAATTAAAATTGGCCCCCTAAGTTTTCAAAAAATACTTATTTTTATTACTTATTTATGGTTATTAAAGATGGTTTGTAAAAGAAATTGCTTGTGTTCCTCGAAGTCTAACTTTTTTGGAAGGTTATTATTACAATCTTGATGTAACATATCAGTACTCTATTCATATCCTTCATACAATTTTCAATTTTATTATTGTATAGTACTTTATGCATATACACACGTGCACACTGCACGCGCACACACACAACACACATATATATTGTTTGTTATTAATTAAAAATAGAAAAATATATATATTTTTTAATTTGACAACCTCATTTATCGAGTGTCATATGTTCCTCTCTCCATTTTTTCTTTACATATCATTTATAGACATGTTAACGGAAAAAGAAAAAAAAAAATTTGTTACAATTTTTTTTTTTATTTTAAAAAAATCAATTTTATACTAGTAATTTGGCCCCCACAACTTTATATTTCTGACTCCGCCCCTGACTCCCTTAGTAAATGTGTGGAGGTGGAGAAAATCTAAGTGTGAGAGCATAACAGCCCTCCACGTCTAGGAGGATTGTCTCTCTGGTTTGGCCTCTTGCTCTTGGCCTTAGAACATGTCCTTTTATGGCCAAGGGAGAGAATGGGTGATGCATCATGTGACAACACGTGTTGGCCCATTAACATAATAATTAAAAGAGATTAATTTCTCAAATAATTATAACGTAATATTAATTAAAATCAGGTTATTTTGGTTTGGGAGTCAAAATGATATTTCTCTCTCTACAAATCTGGTCGAGTTTTGACTCAACAAACCCTGGACTTCTGCCACCTAATCAAAACCTCATTGGATCCTAGGTAATCATGAGTCCTACTCCCAACAAGTTTTCAAATCTTCAATTTTCTGTTCGAGGTATGTTAATGACATGGTAAATTTGAACGTTGAACATAAAATGTGAGCTATTTTTAAGGGTGCATACGGTTTGATTCGGTACAGTTCCAGCTAGAACCGGAACCAGTCTGAAAGGTTCCTAAAAATTGGAACCGGAACCGGAATCGTAAGCAATGGAACCGTTGACCAAATTGAGACCGGAAGCCAAAAAGATATCTGAGAAGACTTTCACTGAGACAGCAGCTAAATACTTAACAAGTGCTTCGCAAATCTCCAGCCACGGTCCACCCCTCTTCCTTTCCAAGGCTTGAATCTTGAAATGAAAGTGAAGGTCATTCGGCCAAATATATATATATATATATATATATATATATATATATATACAAAAAAAAAAAAAAAAAAATTTACACTTGATTTTAGTTTGCAAAACAAGAATTACAGATCTTGATTAGTTGATTTAGAAAAAAAATTAAAAGAAAACCCATACATACAAGTTAGCAGTTGCACAGAGAGAGAGGGGCAAGCTTGAGAGTTGAGAGATAGCTGCTGAAGCTTGCGAACGGCGAACCCGAATTGGAACAGCGGGTGATGGAAACTGAAAGATATGGGTTTTGACTTTTTGAACAATCTTGAAATGATATGCAGATATGGGTTTTGAACTTTTGATTCTTGCAGACAGATCCGAAATATATGGGTTTTGATCTTCTGATTCTTGTAGATTTTGTAGATCTAAAATACATGGGTTTTGAACTTCTGATTCTTGTAGATTTTGTAGTTTGCAATTGCAGAAAGAAACGGACAGAGAGAGAGAGAGAGGGCAAGTTCAGAGTCGTGAACGAGAATAGAGATGGATGAGATTGGGGAGGCTGAAATGATTTGCCCTAAATTTATTTTAAAGGTTTATAAATTAGAGTTACTAACATTAATAATATAATCAAATATATATAATATATATATTACAGTTCGGTTTGGTTCTGGAACCGAACCGTGAGACCGGAACCGGAACCGAACCGAATCTCAACGGTTCCTCATTTTAGGAACCGTAACCGTGAGAATCAGAATTTCGGTTCCGGTACCACGGTTCTTTTGTGCATTCCTAGCTATTTTTGCTGATGTGGCATAATCCGTTGACCATTTGACTAGGGGTGACAATTGGGTAGGTTTGGACGGGTTTTGAGCCGATCATAAATGGGGAAGTCAGTAATGGGTCAATAACCCATTATCAAACAATTCATGATGGGTAATAAATGGGTTGGATATTAAATGGGCTAGTTAATTCACATCCAACCCGATTACCCAAATATTTTTAAACACAAATTATCAAATTATTTTTGTTGTTGAATACCAAAAAATAAAAATAAAAAGAATTGTTCGTGTAGCAGTTTTTCATTCACTTTTTGGTCTCACTTGTTACAATTTTTTTTTTTTTTTTTTTCGGTATACAATTTACTCTGCCAGTAATATTATATATATATATATATATATATATATATATATATATATATATATATATATACATTTAAAAAAAATAAGCTTTGACTGTTTTAAGTAGGAGTTTTAATTAGTTGGTGAATATCCAATTTTTTATATTTAATAATTAGATGGATGAATATTAATTTTTTTTTTTTTTTTGGAAATATTTAAGCATATGTCAATAAAAGTCAGCCCAATCCATAGGTAGAAACAAAAATAAAAAAATAAAAACACCGGCCCAATAAAGAGAGAAACCGAGATGAAGGGGGAAAGTAGAGAGAGAGAGCTAAAAAAAAAAAGTGAGAGAAACCGAGGGAAAAAGAGAGGAGAGAGAAAAAGCACCTTTATATATATATAAAAAAAAGGAGCTTTGACCGGTAACGTACGAAAATTTTACCAAAAAATAAAAGGTTCATGTAGCAGTTTTTCACTAATTTATTGGTTTCTAGCATTACAATTTTTTTTTTTTTTAAATTCGCAATAGTCACTTATATGTAGCAGTTGTTCACGCCGCCTCATTCTTCTTAGTTCTTATCGCCGTGGGATCTAGTTATTAATCAATCTTTCTCAAATAACCAGAAGTTCGGTCATCGCCGGCGATCTTTTATTGCTACCGTTGGTGACATCCTCTTTCTCACACTCTCTCTCACTTTCAATTCACAAATCTCTGAGTCTTACGGTGTGTTTGCACCTCAAGCACAACCAACAATGATAACGAACCAAAATTCTTTGTTTTCAAACACGGATTTGTTATCCTTTTTAGTTTTAACCTTATTTTAATTTCTAGGGTTTAGTTTTTAGTTTTATTTCACCCACTTTCCCCTATCTTTTTCTCTCTTTACTTTAGTCTTCGATTCGGGAATGTGAATGTTTCTATTGATATCCTTATTGTATATGCAATTCAGGAGAAAAAATAGTGAATTAAAATTCAACTAGAGCCGTGGAACTGAACTAAACCAAATCGTTTTTTCACTATTTGGATTGGTTTGGTTCCATGGCTCAAATGGTTTGGTTCGGTTTTAGATTTTTTGGAACCGTAGGGAGCAGTTTGGTTCCAAAAAATTCTCAAAACTAAACCAAATCGAACCATGTGCACCCCGTGGTCTGCTGTGAAGCTATCTGGGCTTGTGTATAGAGATGGCAACGAGGGTGCGTTTGGGCGGGTGTACCCTCCCCCATCCCCACAACTTTTTAAAAACCTCGCCCCAGTCTCGGCCCAAAAGCGCAAAAATGAGGGGACTTTTCACCCCATTCCCGCAACCGTTTAATATTTTTACCCCTGCGGGTACCCCCGCCCTGTTTAAGACAATAATTTATTTATTGTTAAAATAAATTTGCTCTTTTTTTTTTCCCCTTATCTTCAGTTATTCACTATTGTAACTTTCCTTCTAATCAAATTCATTTGTTATTTTAATATTATTATATAGGGTACTTAATATATATACTGAAAAATATATATACTAATGAAATAAGAGTACTTAAATAATTTGTCTATTTAAACGGGTGGGGTGGGGCGGTATGGGGCGAGGCGACCTCTCTCTGTTCCCTTACTAAACCTACGCAGGATTTTATTAAATCAAATCATCTTCTCCCAAATAAACTAAACGGTTACCTAAAATTGAAAAAAATAAAGCAGAGAAATCGGATCAAATTACTGTCCCTACTTGTGTATAATAGTCCAAATTAAAAAGAGTGATTATTTTAAATCAATGGGTTGAGCCCAGTTGTGTGGGTCTCATAATGATTTGTAAAGTTTTGTGAAAATTTTTTCATTTTTGTTTTTTTATTGGTCCACCCAAACTTGGGGTGAAAGACTTTATAGCCATTGATAATTTTCCAATTTGATGGAAATGAAAGGCTGCCAAAGCCCTTGGCAAAATATCAGATGACACGTCACTATGGGCGTCACTTATCGCAACGACGATGAGGTCATCCAAGAAATACAACCTGAGTCATGACATCACTCACCATTGGCGGTCCACTCCGGTTTGGAAAAGTTAATAAAAGGATATTCTAGACCACGCCACCATCATATCCACTGCAGAAACTATTCCACAATAAACGGTCACTGACTCTGGTACGCTTTTTTCAGAATCAGCTACATGGAAGTAGTAGACAAGAGAAAACGGACAGATGACGGAGAATTGAACGGAAAGAGAAGGAAGGCACATGAGGATGAAAACGGTGTGAACCGTGTGATTAAGATGGCGACGACGGAAGATGATGAGGTGGACGAGTTCTTCGCCATTCTTCGGCGGATACACGTGGCAGTCAAGTACTTCGAGAAGAAGCGTAACGGGGAGGGCGACCGTGAGTTCACGGCGTGGAGGCCGTGTTTTCAGTGGCAAGATTTTGAGCAAGTTAACGGTGTCAAAAACCTGGCCGGTAGAGAGGAGAGTGGATATTTGGATCTTAACGCCGACCCGGAAGCCAAACGTGAAGAATTAACAGTTAACGGTGCATTTTAAAATTTCTAATGTAGACTATGATATAACATCAACCAGTCCCTCAATAACAGTGGTATTGTTTTTGGAATTTAATTTGGTTTGGTTTGATCTACTGTGCTTTTCTTGTAGCTGTATTTTGTGTTCCGTGTAATAGAATATAAAGAGAATGATGTCAATTCTTGTAAGTCTATTAATTTGACTTATTCGTGAAGGTTTGTCGAACTGTGATAGATTTAGAATTGAAATATATTTAATTAAATTTTAAACGCTTAATACATAATTCAAAATTTCGTGCTCTAAAATTCAATATTCTAGTATTTGAATAAAGCAACTTCATGTGGTACCTCATACACCGAAAGAAGATTTAAAAAAAGGAGATGGGTTTTTCTTATGTGGCAGCATTAGCACGTGCAAAGGGTTGGATGGATATGCATACTTATAATATGCAATCACATGGAGCGTGTGTAGTATTAATATTCATCAAGGACCACTAAAATTTTAATTTTCTTTTTCTTTTTGCACAAATTTTGATAATTTATAAAGATGGGGCTACAAAAATTTCACATAAAGCAGAATGGTTCTATTACCACTAAAAACTCAAACTCAATATTCATATCTTATTTACTTTTCAAATTCAAACAAAACATATAAAATACGTGATCAATTATGAAAATTAGATACTTACTTTTAGGGATATAAGTATATGAATTTGTCATTTTTAGTGAAACAATTTCTTAATTGTTCATGTTGAAAGAGTATGATTATTAATTCTTTACTAGTTATGACTGCAGATATGGTTCGAACTTTACCCGATTCATATGATATGATCACTTTGTATGGATCTAAACACCTGTTATAAAAATAAATAAATAAAATTTCTTAATAATCCATAACATTACAGTCCCCTCAAACTTAAATGAATGATTTTATAATTTTACTTAAAATATAATATTGATGCATGGAGGGTATTCAATCCAAAAAGTTAATCCATTGATTGAGTAATCTTCGTCCAATATAAGTTTTAGATCCCTTGTTTTTTACAAACTGATATGGAACTGGCTCGCTGCACAACACATGTAAACAAAACAAATTAAATAAAAAGCAAGAAAACTTCATAGTGCAAGTATTGGTGGCAGTCTTAAGCAAAATTTAAACTAAAAAAAGAGGCACTGCTGGCAATAGAAGTTTCAAGATGGACCTAGTTTCGTTTTTAATTTAGAACACTTCAAACCCTGCAATAGCAAATTCAACCTGTGCATTTATATATTGAAGGAAAATGAAAATTTCTAAATTTGTGGAAGAGACTCTTGAAAATGAAATTTGTGCCCAAATGAGATGTCTGGGTTGTTGACCATTGATGAGTGTGGCATGGTTCACACTAAATTTGGGGCATAGACTTTGCAGCCTTTCATGTCCCACTTATATGGCAATCAAAGCTTTAATATTACAGTTCTCGTGTATACAATTAATGAATTATTTATGCACTAAATCAGATTACGTATTGGTGTGTCGTTGCTTATCTTGCGTCACTTACTACAACGTCGACAATGAGTTCATCAAAGAATATTCAACATTACATTCATCACTGTGGGCCTTTCATTTCGGTTTGGAAAAGTAGACAACGCGACTCCTCCTATATATATATATATATATTATATAATTCCAGACCACAACAACATCATCATCACCACCACACAAAACTATTCCACAGTAACAATTCTTTTGGCCAGAGTGACATGGGAGGAGTAGACAAGAGAAAACGGACAGACGACGGAGAAATGGGTGGCAAGAAAAGCAAGTTACGTGAGGATCATGACGGTGTGAAGATGGCGGCGACCCAAGAGGATGAGGAGGTGGATGAGTTCTTCGCCATTCTCAGGCGGATACACGTCGCAGTCAAGTACTTTGAGAAGCGTTACGCCGTCCCCGAGGGCCGCCGGCGTGAATTCACAGCGTGGAGTCCGTCTTTTACGTGGGAAGATTTTGAGGGAGTCAACGGTGTCAAAGAGCCGGCCAATAGAGAGGAGAGGCCGGAGAGCCGATATTTGGATCTTAACACCGACCCAACCAAATTAGTCACCGATTCCAAATTGAGAACAGTTCTAAAATAAAATTTTAGGAATTGTTTGACAATCGTTTTTACTTGGTACTTTTGTTTTGATTTGAAACAGAAGCGATTTTTCTGTTTTAAAGTGTGTTCAATATTATTAAAAAGCCTGTTTAATAACCTAAATTTGCTGCAAGCAAACAAAAGAATAATTTTAATGTTTCTGATTTTAGCCTCAATTTTGAAAGTGTTTCGGTACTATTCAAATGACATTAGATGTTACCAAATATGCTTTGCGTTTTTGCTAAGCTATAGCACACTAACAAAAAAAAAAAAAAAAAAAAAAAACAGACCCTTAGTACAATTACTAGTCTTATGATAACATTAACTCGTTCTTAATAGTAAGAGTAGGTAATATTGATTTGTATTTTGTATGATTGGATTTGTATGGACAAGCTTTATATTTTTTCAAAATTAATTAGTATTTATATAATTTAATATGTTGATTCGATGCTTCCAAATGTTATATTAGTATCCTTGATTCTATGACACGTGTCTTACACTCTGAAAAAGAGTTAATACAGAGTTTTCTCATGAACTTGATTGATGGAGAAAAAAAAAAAATGGTCCCAAGCTAAAGTAATTATGATAACAAAGTTGTATAAGTTACATGTGTAAAACAAATGTATTGGAAAAGTTAATACAGAGTTTTCTCATGAACTTGATTGATGGAGAAAAAAAAAAAAATTGGTCCCAAGCGAAAGTAATTATGATAACAAAGTTTATAGGTTATCATGTGTAAAACGAATGTATTGGAAAACAAGTGAAGCATATATATATATATAACTAAGCTGCTATAAGAAGAACATTATGCAGAACATGTGAAAGAACAATATCCCTAGAAAGAGGACTCCTGGATAGCGCCGCTAAAGCATGAGCCACCTCATTACCATGCCTGTGAACATGGCGAAAACAAGCTAAGGAAAAACTCCGAAGCGCCACATAAATATCAAAAGAAATGGCCTGAATATCAAGTGGTCTAGAATCAACATTCAAAACAGCCTTAACCACCACCAAGAAATCAAATTCAAACCAAACGTGAGAAAACTGAGAAGACAACACCCGTAATACAACCTTATGCAGACATATAGCCTCTGCCAACATCACATTGGAAGCCAGAAACAGACAAAAAACCACAGCCTCCAAGATAGCACCTGATGAGTCTCGAAAGAAAGTCCCGCCTCCCCCAACTTGGGAAGATTAAGAAAAGGACGCATCCACATTACATTTGACAATACCTGAAGGGAGAAGCAGCCAACGTGACAAGGAAGATAATCTAAGACTGTGAACAGGAGGAAGAATCAACCCAACCGCTTGACAAAAGGCAATGTGAAACATTAGAGGCCTCCTTAAACTCCCAAAAAAATGAACATGCTAACCCAACCACCCGGTGAGCATTCCATAATTCCCCAACAAACACAAGTTTGTTACAAGCCTTCCAAATAAACCAGCAACAACACGCAACAAACCCCAGGACATCTGACCCCCCCTCTTTTGGCCTTCACTACCGAGCCAAACTCAACCACCAATCATTAAAGTAAGAAGGGTGAGCCATAAAAAAGTTAAAACAAAGCGAGGAGAGCTTCCAAACTTAAACTGAAAAGATACACTGAAACAACAAATGTTCAAGAGATTCCACCTCAGAACCACAACGCGAACAAACAATACCAACATCAAAACCGCGACCAACTAAGCGTTCCCGAATTGGAACAGTAAGCTTACAACACTTCCACATGAAATGCTGTAATTTTGGCAAAATTTTACATTACCATCGACTATCCCATGGAAACTGACAGGAAAAAGGTTAAATAGGATCAACCGAAGATCTCCTCCCATGAACCAAAAGGTTGTAAGCCAATTTATAGCTGGACTTCACCGAAAACAGACCATTGGACTCCAAATCCCATGCCAACCTATCCGCTTTGGAAAAAAATCTAAAACTACATTTAAGTATAGCAGCAACAGTGGCTGGTTGAAATAAATTGTGAAGCAAATCCACATTCCAGCCATGTGAGGAACTATCCAACAACTCAGCCACAAACTAGTGAACCACAGAAATTGTCGGCACCAGAAGCGAAAAAGAATACCCTGGAATCCAGCGATCTGACCAAATATGAATGGATTGTCTGTTTCCCACTATTCATTGCGAGCCGGCAGCAATAAAAGATTGTATGGACCAAATACTTCTCTAGGCCCAAGAAGGATTTGACCCCAAGGAAGCTTCCAAAAACGAACAATGAGGAAAAGAAATGCTTTTATGATATGGTAAATGGATCCACGTGGAGTGTGTGTACTTGTATATCATCTTGGAGTGTCGATGAAGACCCTTTATTGAATTTGATTTAGTTAAAGGAATTAAGAGAAATTTTTACATAGTCTCGATCTGTCAATCATATGTAACTGCTATGTATACAATTGTGTTAATTTAATTTTTACTTATGAAATGCATGTGATTGATTTGGAATTTTGGATCATGTAATCTGAACTATATAATAATTTCTTAAAAAATTAGAAATAAAATAAAATTATGAAAGATTATATACCCTTAATTTTGGAGGTGATCGTTATATTCAACTAAAGGAAAGGAATACCTATGTGACTATTGTAAACTTTAATAATTCGTGTTAAACATTAATCACAAATAAACATGAATCCCAAGGTCTTAGAACTTCATTTTTTTTCACATGCCTATAATGCATAAATAAATAGTTAGATATAAATACCTCGATCTATGATAGCAAACATTGTTGAGATCAAGTCCGACATTGAGATTTTTTCTGCGAAACGAACAACGTGATAAACTGCAAGTACAAACAATAGCCAAAGCGTATGGAAACTGATTTTTCTCTCTTGACCTTTTTACATACATAAACATTATACGTGTTGTTTTTATTAGCGTACATAACTGATGGGAATATGTACTTTTATAAATGTAGAGAGATAACCGGTTTTCCTTTTAGTAACCTTAATTCCACTTTCCATCAAAGTAAGGAATAAATAAGAAAACACTTCTCCAATAATTAATTACCAAAAAGGTAATTTATAAGTTGACCAAATAATATAATATTAATCTGATATCTATTTACTTAACCACTAATTAATGAAATATATCACATGTCCAAATCATGTGGGCCACACAATT